TGGCTGAGGCAAGACTCCGCAAATCCGAGGTTTCAACCAAGTCCCATTTAAATGCGCGTCCGCGTGCACTGGCTAAAAAATGTTACGCTTAAATCCCATGCAAAATTGCAGGATTTAGACGAGCGAATAAACAGTTTTTCTACGTGGAAACATATTTCAAGGAGAATTCGGTGCTCAACCACGGGACAGGCTTCCGTCTAGGCTGTTTGCAACCGATGCACTTGAATAAAATGTGTCACGTGAAAAATTCTCCCGTCATACATTCAACGTGATTAGAATTGCTAACATGGTTTCGCAACGAAAACTGCGAAGATATACTTGATCTACCTCCCAAGGAATCTCTTAGTGGTCCACCCCCTATGTTGTGTACTTCGATAAAATTAACGTAATTTTATCTTCGAGAGAACGACAGACTCTTAAGTCGCGATTACATCCTCCTTTTTACTCGTCGATTTTAATAAAGTTGCGTTCAGCCCGAATCAGGTAAATCCAGTTTGACTCTTACGAAGCTTCAATACCGAAAATATTACAGTCTCGTGAGTAAAATTAATTTCGAAAATGTCGGTACTAATGCTAAGCGAATTTAAAAATTAATTGAAATTCTGTAATTTGGAAATTTAAAATCTGAAGAATACAATGTTGTATTTCATGACATGTTACGTTCACATCTAATATTAATATTCCATGAATCGTATTTTCAGAAAATATTCATCTCCGTACCGGAAATTTTCGTGTTTCGTTATCGATTTTGTGACGGAACCGGGAATCACTCCAAACGGAACGTCTCGAGAGTAACTTTAGTCTCTTCTTACCGGATGAAGAAATTTTTCTGATTAAAGTAGATACATACTATGTCCCGGAGTTATCTTCCTTCCATTACGAACTGTTCGATCGCATTCTATTACACACACATAGGTATACACACACACAGACACGTGTTTACACAGGTATCGTCGAAGGTGCACATGAATCGCGAGATTCCGAGAGAAGATACCGGGGCTTCGATTTGCGAAACTTTATCCAGGACGTCGACGCGCCGCTAAACAAACGTTGAATAAGTTTGCCTGGAGGTACGCCGGGGTACCAAACAACGGATAACCGAGCGTCGTAACTTTTACGATCAAGAAGAAACCGCGAGAATTTTGCCGACAGGTTTATGCAGAACGCTTACGTAACACGTCGCGCGTCTCCGTCGAAGCGTAAGTTTTAATGGCGGAAAAGAAAGTCTTTCGGTCTGACGTTGTTTGTCAGGCGACTTAACATCCTCTTCTGGAAAGAAAGATTTATGGACATATACAACTACAAGATGCAAGTTTGATGCCAAGAAATGTATCACGTTAACACTATTTCGTCCGGTTAGATTCGCGAGTAGCTTTTATTAGTGGTCGAGGCTCTTTTTCCTAGGAATTAACCCCTTGTATTATGATTTTCTTGATGTCCGGAGTCTCAAAAATTTCTTATTATCAATAATTCCCCAGAAACAAAAGGAATTTGTGTACCTATCACAATTGTACATAAAAGTGAAATATTAGTATCAGTAAACTAGTATTTTACTTTGACTCAAAGAAAACGAATAATATTTCTATTTGTTGAATCCATTTTGGTATCGTCACCACGAGTCTGACTCGATGTTACAAGGCGAGGGGTTAACAAAATCTAGTTTTTGTTATGTATGTGAAAACATTTAAATACGTATCTGAAAAGTACCAATTGACACTCACATGGCGTCTCTGTGGCGTCATCTGTCGTCATAGAATTAAAGAGGATTAATATTATCGGTCGTACACAATGACCGATGGTAATCGTTACAGAAATCAATTTCCAACTGCAATCTCAAAAGTTCAGAAAATCCCCGATGCGATAATAAAATAGTCCAGACAAACATAAACGGAACTGTGTACGTGAAATTTCATTCAGGTTCGTTTCCAAGGGAAGTTTCACCCGCGTAGAAATGCCCGCATGTAAACGGCCCTCGTTTGCAGTCGCGTCGGTTCCGAATGAAACGGTCGAACTACCAAACGACACACACACAAAGAGAGAAAAAGAAACAAAAATGCTCGCCGAGACACGCGGGTATCGAAGATTAAGCCAATTCCAGGGCGAAAATCTCGGCGTTGCCCGATAACGGCGAGTCGTTAAGGTAAATCGAATTCCTTAACGGTGTGCTAACGCTAACAGGTGACGGGTCGATTACCGATGCACCCCTTTTCTATCTCGTAGGCGTCTACCCTCTATCTGCTGTCTGGTAAATCTCTCGAATTGGCCCCCCTCACTACCCTTCCTCTAATATTGTCAGACTGGAAATGAGGAAGAAAATCGTATCCTCCCGAAGATTGAAAAGTAAAATGAGGAGAGGTCCCCTCCGTCTCTCGGTCGGCAAAACCTAGAGAGTGAGGGTGTCAGAGCTCGAAGAGGGTGTCGACCCTGTTCGAAGGACGGAGAAAGAGATAATCTAGAGGGTGTAGCCAGTGAGGAGACCGAGTGAAAGACGTGAGAACGGGGGCGAGAAAAAGAAAGAAATGCGCGAAGGTGTGTCGGCTAGGTGAGTAGATGGAGAATCAAGGACGGGACCAAGGTGAGAGGCATTTCTCTACGGATCGTCATTCGGGACTCTTGGGTATTTCTTTTCTCTCCGTGTCTCTGGATTAAAGGAAGAGCCCAGCCAGCCGCCCAGCTACGTGGCCCCCCCCGGCACACTACCCGGTGTATTATGTGTCGCGAAACGCTGGAATTTCGTTACAATGGAAACAGCAAAGGAGTATACCAATCTCGAGGAAAGGTTTGCCAGGCACATACATACACTCAGGGGGTTGGGAATAAATAGAGCCCAGGTCCGGAATGGAAGTAGTAGGGCCGCCAGTCGACTACTTCTGGCGGGGGGCCTCGTAACGAGTTTTTACGTGCCGGCAAATCAGAGGGGGCTAGCGATCCGGTTTCCGATACAGCACATTTCGCGTTCGAGTGGAATTTATTAAGCTGGGCCAAATTCGATCCCGGAAGTTCGGTTTAGGGAGCGGAAACACCGCGCGAGGAGCTGCTGTATCGATTTATGCGGAAGAGGATCGGGTGGAACTCCCAGCTGTCCGGAAGACTGCGGTCTATCAGCTTAGCTGGGGTGTCTAGTAACATTTAGCAGAAAGGGTGATGTATAGTCGCGCTTAGTACGATTCATTGTTCTGTATTGTTCCTTCTATCGATGAAATTATGAAATAAGCGTTTAGAGAGTTCTAAATATAATTGCTCATTGTGAATATAATTGCTGATACTGGATCGAACCTCACCTGGGGAGACTGGAAGTTTGATACTTGAGGTCAGTTCTTTGGGAAGGTTCGGCTAGGTAGGGGAAACTGTGGTAAAATCGCGACCCTTAGGGTAAAATTTTGTGATTGTGATGTTAACCCTCGTACAACGAATGCAGGGTCATTTTGACCCACATCTAGCCACTGCGGTATTTTTTGTAATTATATGTGAGTGTAACATGTGACCTTTAATATAGTAGGCATAAAATTTTACTGAAAATTTTATTGAAACTGAAATTGTGGTTTGTTAAAGAATCTCTCCAACAAATAACAGCTTACATCTAACTTTAAAAAGAAAAGAAAAATCCAAAAAAAGGAACGAATTTTGAAACGGGGCACTGTTCACCGATACGTTTCCCTAGCATCTGTGCAAACGGAATTGATTTCATTCTTCAAATCCGAAACCACTGTATCACATTTGATTTATACATCAACGCACGACAAATAACTCAATTTATACAAAAAAAGTACTTACACAGCGCTATCAGTAGTTCTGAAGTATAAAAATGATGGACAATTAAATCAGACATTCGAAACACAGAAAACATCGCAACTCTAGTAAGCACATGTGTATCGCGATGGGCATTTATTTCTCAACTAAAGCAAATGACGATTCATGGCTACAACTACGTAGGAAAATTTGTAATCGTTTTAAAAACCTCCCCTACCGTCAAATTCCACCGTGAGCATCGCAGTTTCACATGTAAACGGTTCACGGTAGAGACGGGCCGTGTGTAAAACATATTAAAACACTCAGATTAATAGAGCTTCTGTTCCACGGTGTACATGTAAATTTTCGTCATCCCGAACAGACCGTTGAAAATATATCAACCAGGAGAATCCGAGGACACGGTAAAGCGACGTGTCGCGCGCGAACGAGAGAATTTGTCCCGCAGCTGCAATTAGCAAATCGTCTCTAAGCCGCTCGCTGTTTCGCGAGGAGGAGGATCCGGGCGGCTGTTTTATCACCGCCTCGCGATCTGGGAAACTCGACTGCACCATCCACCCCCTCCTTCCATCCGTGGCTCGTTTTATTCGCGAATCCGACTTAACGCGGCGCTGTGCACCCGGTCGCGTACGTCCTCGACGAGCAGAGAGCGCAAACTACGCGCATCGACGCACGATTATGCTTAGCGTAAGGTGATTATTCCGGTGAAGCTACTCCGCGGAGCCAAGGAACTGCGCTAAGCCGGCTACTTCCGTCTATTCAGGATCCCCCTGAGACCCTATGAAGACTGCGTTCGGATGCCTGAACGACGAAGAAAATAACCGTTCGTTCGCGCGAGAAACGAGGAGGAACGGGCTTTGGAAAATGGCGGCATCGTTGATTGCACAAGTGTCTACAAAGTGGAGGTCTAGGGAAAGGCTCGTTAAGTAAATATGCGATAGGAATTATTTACATTGTATTTGAAAGAAATATGAGTATAGAAAAAGGAAGAAAATTTTTGTGAATAAATGGATATTTGGTGGAATACCGGAAATTAATTTTTTGAGGGAATAAATGGTAGGGAATATTTATATCGTAACTCGAGTGTTTCGAACACCGCGAAGCAATGATTGATCTGCAATTTACCAATCCAGTCCGTCCGATCAATTGTAAGACAAAAATATCCAGAATACCTATACATAACCATGACGGACGGTTTCGAGTCGGGTCACAATAATAACTTCCCCGAGAATAATTTATATGCTAAAACTCACCTCCAGAACGTGCTCGGCCTGATTCTCTCGATCCAGTTTCCTGCCGCTGGTCGTGATCAAACCTGAAACAGAATCAGTTAGAACTTAATAAATCTCTCTATTAAACTTCATTCCGATCGAGTCCTCTCAAGTGACGTTTCCAACGTTCATCCACGCAGCGAAACCAAGGTACAATTCTCGATGGTAATTCGCGCAGGAATTGGAACGGGCGGGCAATTAACGGTAGAAAGATTAGCCGTACCGAGGAGACTCGACGAAATTATAGGCGTTCAGATTTTCACCGGAACGGTGTACCTACTCGTACGCTCGAACGTGCGTTCCTCTCTCCATTCTTTTTCTCGTTTCCCTCCGGTTGCATCCCCCTTGTTCTCACCGTAATCCATTTCTATTCGTTTGGAAATTCACCCGGAAAATTCGAGACCGATGGACTGGCCATGTGAATTCCGATTCAGGCCCAGGTTCGACTCGCATTTACCCGATGCACCCACCTCCGAAAAACACAAACGATCGTTCGCGATTTAATGCATCTGCCGGTGGACACGAGTCAGTGTCGTCCGGAAAATAATCCAGGAGACGAGAATTTCGGCGCCCATTATCCAGTAGAAGGGATGGGTGGAGGTGGGTGACGTCTCGTTTCTCGATTGCTACGCGGACGTTTTCTCGAACATCGAAATAGTAATTGGGTTTCGCTCGCTACCCTCGTACCGTAACAATTTCGCGGCAAATTGCTTCCTTCCCTTTCCACGTTTTTCAACCGACTCTCTTTTTTTTTTCTTTCTCTTTGCTGGTCCGGCTTCCGGGGAACGAGCACAAGAAATTTCAATGTAAGAGTCCCCGAGTGCCATCGGGAAACAAGCTTTCCCGGGGAGTGCGGCGTCGCCGCCGGATGACTTCGCCGGACACGGACGGTTTCCGGGAGTTTTCGAACGGAAAGCGACGTAGCGGAACAAGAGAACGAAGCCCCGGGAAGCCTTGGAGCTTGGAGATTTTTTTTTTCTCCTGGCCCCGCTGTTTCTACGGCTTCCGGTAACAACGACAAACCACAGGCGAGGATTTTATATTGCGACAGGAAGTACTAATCATGTTGCGCGGTGGAAGCCGTGTGTTTCGTGGTTGGGGGACAGGGAACCGCGAGTGAACTGCGCGATATTTTCGAACTTCTGGCTGGTGGACTCATTAGATGTGGGGAAGGGGGTTGAATTCCCTTCTCATGGAGAGAAAATTCAGGGAAACTGTGATTTTCCGTGGGTAATTATAGGTTAGCACGTTGACTGTTACGGGAGTTTTAGATGCTTTGCCCAGGGGGCCACAATTGAATTTTCTATTGAGAATATAAATGTAATTATATAATATTCGTAAAATTATATTGATATTCTATAGAAAATACAATGTTGAGTGATGTGATTAAATAAGGCTATATCCTATTATTCGACTAGTCTTGATGATGTGTCTCGTGAGACAATTTTGCAAAATGTGTTACGAGAAAAATGTTGCAATCTTCGGTACAAAAACTGCGAAAGTAAAGACACTATCCCAAATTACTATGGTCAACCCAACTTTTGTTTGAAATATTTCAATATTGTACACCATAATATTTAACTTCTGTAAAATATTATGTTGTAACTAAAATTAATGATAGTTGCATAGTGCCTTTGTTATTTTACACTATTATGAAGTTACTCACATTGTTCAAACATTCTTAAACGATGATAATCATCTTATTCCAAGATATTTACCCCAGATCCTTCGATTACGGGCGACAGCCGTGGCAGTCAACGTATTAAACAGGTGCTAATTAAACTGCTTGTTCTTCGGTGCACTGGGGGATGAGTTTCGAAGGTTCAGAATACATGAAAAATTTTAATTGGAAGATTCAAATCGAGTCAACGCTCTGACAACGCAACGCGACGGCACACTTTTCCGTGGATTCAATCGACATCCTTCAACTGGATTTTTCTTGCAGAGAGAACTAAAGCCGATTGCAATCGACGTCGTCGTGCTGACTGCGGGACTACACTGAATCGTTCGTGACAAAACTGTAATAACCGTAATAACGAGATTTGACCGGGGCCCAGGTAAGGCGGTAGGTATCGCGGCGTGGAAAATTTTCCGGGGGTTTCGAGTGCATCGGGCATCGACAGCGGTCGTCAAGTACAACGTCATTGTTCACGGACTCGTCGACGTGCGACGTGGCACCCACCCCACCCTCAGCGTCCTGAGATTCGACACGCAGCCGGTAATAACGGGTGACATTCCGCCGTCGAGTTTTCCTCGTCGGGATCGCGAGTAAAAGATGGGGAAAAGGGGAACGAGGCAGCGAACCTGTGTGAAACGTGGAAGGGGTAAATATACACGGTGACTTGAAAGGGATCGCGGAAAATTTGTTAAAACGTTGTATTTCACGTGTTGACATGTAGATTGCCAAAACAGTTATAGTTGGGGTAGAATAAATCGGCTATTTAAGAGGCATTTATAAAACATTAGTGGATATACACCTTTACGCTTTAAGGTACGTATCCATCAAAAGAATTCCAAGATACACATTGCTACAAAAGTGACACAAGTGACAAAATTAATCAATGCACATTTCAATCGAAAGAATTAATGCTCGTTTGCATCAACTCAAACTTGTTCTGGGGCACTAGACAAGGAATAAAAGTACCTTCGTGACTGATAAACATATCTGCATTGTCCGATTTATATAAACCACCGTACGAACATAAGAATTACATAGAATTCCATTGGGCCAAATTCACGGTAAAAATATTACCGTTACAACTCAACTACAGACGAAGTATCCAGGTGTTGCTTCCATTCTCCCGTTAATCCAGAACCGTCACCGCATACAGATACAAAAATTCAAATATCCATGTTCAAGGGGTGCCCCGTCCCCTATTATACTCCTTTCTCAACCCCCGTGAATTTCACGACACCCTCTAGACTAGACTACTCGTGACGGAACGAGAGGTCACGCGGGGGTGGTACAAAAGGGAAGCGGAGAAAAGCGTCGCACAGAGGGAACACGACGGAGCAGAGAGTTCCGCGCGGCGGAACGCATTTAAATAATTGCTTTTCGTTTTCATTCCTCGGCCTCATCGTGTCGGTCGACGTCGACGGTGTCGTTTGCCCGATGCACCGATTCACCCGACGACACGACGCACACCTACTGCCCTGTCGCATAGAAAAGGAGAAAAAAATTCGTTATCGGAAATCAAACGGGCACGAGAAAACTATTCGCGATATTATCAAATGTCCCCGATATTCCTGTCGGTGGGTCTGACGGATACCGTCAAGGTTCACGCAAGAAACATCGATAGATCGCGACGGATTTATTTTTCGCTCGCGTTTTTCCTCCCCCGAGGACGTAGCCCGAGGATGCTGACGGCGACGCCTCCTCGACCGCGGATTTCGAACCCCGTCGGGAGAATACTTTATGACGGGGCAGGTGAAAAATACACCGTGGAAAACCGTGAGACCGACGCCATCGTGATCTTCCCTCAAGACGATGTTTTGCTCTCTTTTTTTTTTTTTTTTTGTTATTTCCTCCGAGGATAGAAGGATTCGTCGGATTCGATTCTTGCTTCGGTGGAAGACGTTGACAAACTGGTATCTCCTACTCGAATGAAACTTGTTTTTGATAAAATCAGAGGATACATGTCTACTTCACCGAGTAAAAATATCTGTGATTTAATTGAGATTGTAATCCACTGGTTTTTTTAACTCTCGGACGACGGATGCTTGTGCAGTGCATTCTGAAGAAGGTTCGATATAGTTGCTGTAGGATAAGATATTCAGTTTTGAATTTGTTGTTTTTTTCAAATGATATTAAGGAATACAAAATGCTTGTTTATGCTAATGTCATAAGATCCGATTTCTCGACAGTTGACTGTCGCAACAGGCGGGTCAAAATGACTCTGCATTCGTTGTCCAAGGGTTAACAACGTACAAGAGAATTTTGAAATAGACGTCAAAGTATCTGTAATATAACCATGATTAATTTTTTTTATATTACGTTTCCTATATTAAACTACGTTGAAACTGTAAACGGAAACCGTCTCCAATCACCCGCTGAGAAAACTTTCTCTTCCTTACCCTACGTAACAGGGTTTATGTTAAGGGAAGAGCCAATCGAATTTGGGCTCTTCCCACTCTGAAAATGCATTCAGGATGCATTTCCCCCAGATTTGAACTAGACATACTCTTGCAGCCGTGCAGAGTACACCAAATAAACTTCGTATTGAGTTTACGGCTGTTGCATTTTGTAAAAGTATCTTTTACCCTCACAGCAGTTCCATTGCATATACAACAATAAACCACTTGCATTATCTCGTCGATATTATTAGTTGTACCAATAAGTAATCCACTATTTCACAAATTGTGAGGCGTCATATTTCAAATTAAAAGTATGTTTTCGATCTTGTGTCGAGTAACTATGGAAGATCACTATGAACATAAATTAAACAGTATACAGGGTGAACCACGAATCGTGATCAGTAGAGATTACTCTGTTATTAACTTTCGTTTTTCACCCTGTACATAGATCTCTAGCTTCTATAAAAACGAGTATATTAATTTCATCAAGAAATAGTGGATCATTTATTCAAACACCTAATAATTTTTGTAAAAACGTTTATTCACTCGTAAACGGGTTAACGAGTATTGCACACCATCAAAAACAGGGTCAAATCTGCCCACCAGACTGACATAACGAAAAGAAACTCGTGAACCGTGGTTCGTTTTTTTAGAGGGCGTTGCGGCCCGAGAACGATTCGAACGATATATCGTCGCCCGTGTTATTTAGGCATGGTAATTGAGGATCTTGGTCCAGTGAGCGTCAAAGGCGGATAGAACTCCCGTCACGAAGTCAGGAGACCGCGCGATGGACGGAAACTTAACGAGCGTCGTTGTTGCGGCCGCTGAGCGCCGCCCTCCCACGCCAGAATCGTCATTAATGCCCGTATATGAGAATTGAAACAATTGCTACCCCCGTCCTTCTCCCCCATTCGACATGTACGTATTGTTTTGAATTGCAAATGCATATCGTACAATCTCTCAAATCCGG